GTCAACTTATGGCCGTTGTTCCTTGTTACTCCCGGTAGTGCTTGGGGGAGTTACTTCAGCCCCGAATTAAAGCTTTAGGGAAAAAAATTACATTTAGTTTTACACGTTTTCAACATAATCATGCCTTCTGGGGGCTTGCTGTACTGATGCCATGTTATGCTATTGCATGAAAAGGGATTAAGGCAGTTTGCTTAAAGCAGTCCTGTCTATTTTAAACTACAGAACACACATGCAAAAAAGTAAAGAAATAACAAAATACAAATGAAAAACTAAGATACTGAAATTTCTCATGTTTAAACATCTTGTGCGAGAATAAAATACCGTAGAATTCTGATTTGACACTGTTGCTTGAAAAATTGTTGGCAACCTTGTTTTAGGGTGTCAATGCCACCCATGCAAGTTGTTCAATTTTTAAAAACCCTTAAACCTTTATGAAGTATTTCTTCCCCATGCAGTGAGGCATCTAAAGACTGAAACTTGGAAGTGGAGAAAAATTATTAAACAGCCTTTTTCTGTCTCTTGTTACAGAAGATATGAAAGAAATACTGTATTTAGAAATGTACACCTGCTAAAAGAAAAAAGTCTTAAATTTGAACTCCTCATTTATTCCTAGGTTTCCTATTCCATGTGTTTTAACCTGCAGATTCCTTCCTTAATGTACTATTTTGCCTCACATCTGTTACTTTGTAAAATATTGTCTCTAGTGCAAGAAAAGAAACAAATTTGCCTAGACCAAGGGTAGGCAACATTTTAGGCAGTGCCAAAAAATGCCTGCAACCTCAACTTATAAGATGTTGGCATGCTAGAGTGAATGGAGGGGGAGCCACAAGGAGCCCAATCCTTGTTGTGGCAGTGCAGCCCTGGCTCCTCCCCTGCTGTCTGCATGCCAAGCAAAATGCTCTGGCACCCATGCTGGGGGGTTGCCCATCCCTGATCTAGACCACACTGCCTTCATTTGTTTTCAAAAGTTCAAATGCAGTTTTTCCAATGGATTTCTTGTGATTCATTTGTTTCAATGAAATGACTGAAAGGTATGATCCATGTGCCTTTTGGCTATGACATACCTGAGAAGAGTAACATTAAAATGACTATTGCCTGCAGTGAATTAATCAGAAAAAAAAATTTCAGCTGTTATGCAGAGCATGGCACGCAAGAACAACTGGCCTTTGGATAAGATGTGCCTTACTGTAGATGTTACCAAAAAGAACAAAGATGATTATGGCCACACACCAAGAGAAGGAGCATATATTTGTGGACTTTTTATGGAGGGTAAGAAGCCTGTTCTTAAGTTGCTTGATATCAGAGCCATTAGTTACCCTCCTGGAGAAACTATGGATGTCTGGTAAAGTCCCAGATGACTGGAAAAGGGTAATAATAGTGCCCATCTTTAAGAAAGGTAAGAAGGAGGATCCACAGATTTGCAGATCAGTCTGTCTGACCTCAATACCTTGAAAAATCATGGAGAAGGTCCATAAGGAATCTAGTTTGAGGCAGCAAGGTGATCAGGAGCAGCCAGCATGCATTCACCAAGAGCAAGTCACGCCTGACCAACCTGAATTTCCTTTATGACCAGTGATGAGAGGAGAGCAGTGGATGTGACAGACTTTGATTTTATCAAGGCAGTATTACAGTCTTCCAACAGTCTCATTAATAAACTAAGGAAATAGAGACTAGGTGAAAGTATTGCAAGGTGGAGACATAACTGGTGGTGGTAGCAGTTTGTGAAAATACACTGAAGGGATCCAAGGAAGAGGCTAACTGAATATTTAAGTTATTTGAGGAGCTACTTCAAGTGCCCTAAATTGGATCAATAACTCTACTCTGCACCACCATGAAGCACAAGAGACTCCTAGGTAATCAGAGCCAGCATTACAGTAGACTTAAATGATTTTTAGATTTGGCAGAGCTTAATGCTGGGTCACTGGTAGATAGAGTGCATCAACCACTGTCTGTGCCTAAGACACTGAACCTCCACATACAGAAATAAGGTAATTTGGATGGGTTGAGAAAGGATAAGTAGTAGCATTAATCAGAAGGCAAGGTAACAGTTACAGTAATATAGGCTGGAAGTCTAGTTTCCTTTGTGTGGCTAAATAGGAGGCTTCTAGTTATCCACTTGGCTATTTTTTGGCCTGCACATAAGCTTGTGCATTCAAATGGAACACGTGCTGTAAAGCTGTGCACTGGCCAGGCACATATGCAGCCAAGTGCAAGTCCTGGAAAAGTACATGTTGCGGACCAAAAAGCTGCCCCCTACCATTTTCCAGACATGTCTTAGACATGGGCAAATATAGATCCATGTACATAGTTACATATATACCCAACTGTATACAACCCACTGTGCCCCATCTACATGTGCACTTTCATGCACCAACACTGCAGCAGTAATAAAACTACCTGTCGGTGGTATTTTGGGCATTTATGCAGCTAAAAAGCTGCTATTTAGCTGTACAGTGCTAATCCTTTGTGTGGCTAAATAGCAGGTTTCTAGTTACCCACTCAGCTATTTTTGGCCTCCACTTTTGGCTATTTTTTTGGCCCTTGGTGGCATTTATGCAGCTAAAAAGCTGCCATTTAGCTGTACAATGCTAATCAGAACTCACAGTGTTGATGTGCTTCCTGGGCAAATGGACAGTGTGTGATTAAATGAGAAGCCCTTAGATGAAGAGATTTCTAATGCAGACCTTCACCCTGGTAAAAGGACTCAAACTGTACAGGTGCTTTGTGCACACACCAAGAAACAGTGCTGCTAAGTTTTTTTAGAAAGATGTTAAGGGTCTGTACATTTGACATATTACACCTATTTCACTGCTTTTAGGACCTAAACTTCTGTGCTGATGAGCATGTTCACCACCCATTGAGGTCTATCCTATCTGAGACGTCTCAGCACAAGGCATGAATCTGGCCTTTCTGTTCTAAACACCTGCCACAGCAGCTGTTCTCTGATTGTAGCTAATTGAGTTTAAACCAGGTGGAGGGTGCCTAAGCTTTGTCTCCACTACAATACTACACAGATAATAAGCTGTAGTTAAGTTGTCTTGCTCCACAAGTGCATACCCTTTTGGGCTGTGAAGACAAAGCCTCTCACTATGCTTTAGCTCCATTTTAATTCTATGGCTCCCGCAAAAGTTGCACTTGCTACAAACTGGCATAACGCTTCACACCTTGCTAGTGTCAGAAGTCTACACTTACAGCACCAAATTTCAATTAAGAGCACTAAAAAACAGCCACTTCATCTATTAAAAGCTGTGCAACTGGAAGGACAGGTCCAAAACACAGCATTCTATCTTGTATGTTAATAGGAAGGCTCAAGATAGCACTGGATGATGATAAATGCAAGATATACCACACAGAGAAGTGCTAGGACATGTCCCACCACTTCTGCTTACTCTAGCTCCTACACTGCAAGTACTGTAGGCATGGCATGTCTCAGCACTTGCTGTTTTGTGCCATACATATCACCATTGTTAACACATCCCACCTTTAGCTGCATGGTAGGATGAATTAGGTCACACCTGGCCTACAACCTGAACTTCGCCTATCTTAGCTTTGTTTTTGGTATTCCTGAGGATATAGCAATCTGCTACTAGTTGTGTACATTGTATGCTGCTAAACTGTTTGGGCATATTTTGTTACAGGAGCCAGATGGGATACCCAGTCAGGGGTCATAGCTGAAGCCCAGCTCAAGGATCTGACTCCAGCAATGCCAGTCATCTTTGTAAGAGCTAGACCAATGGATCAACAAGAAACCAGAAACATATACGAATGTCCCATATATAAAACTAAAAGCCGAGGCTCCACATATGTTTGGACATTTAACCTGAGGAGCAAAGAAAAGTCAGCCAAGTGGGTGATGGCAGGAGTAGCCTTACTCTTGGCAGTTTAGTACTGAGCCTCTGGTAACAGCTGCTCTTACAACCTTACTTTCAGACAGATATCACGTTCATCTCACTATGTTTATAGTACATCCTACGTATCGCACCATGCTGTACAGCATATTATACGACAACCCCTTTCTATATCATGTGTGCATGTTTCTTCACCTAATAGATTGACGGGTGTTGACTGACATAATTCCCCACATGTATAGGTTAGCTGTGTCACATTATCAAGCCTCAAAACTCTCAGCACAGTTTTAACTCTCAGTGTTCCTCTCTGGATAATTCTTTATTTTCTCTACATAGAAAAAATACAATATCTTACACAAATTATAACATAAATCCAAGATTGCAATAAAAGCATTTTTAAACAATGTTGTCTGAAAAGCCTGCTCTTACCTAAGCAGGTATGCTGTCTCATACATATCAAAACAGTATCCAAAAACAGTTATTATAAAAGATTAAAAACTTTGCAATGTAAAATTAAACCGTGTAATATTGTTCTAAAGCAGCTGGCTCAGAAAGCAGGTGCATCATACAAAAAACCTGTAATTGGTGAGCATCATACCAAAGCCCTGCAATGTCTGTCTTTTACCATGATGGGTTTGTCAGTTTGTACCCTTTCCATTAAAAAAGTATTTCAGTGGAAGGATGCATGTTCATTCCAGCCAAAGCTGATGGAACTGCATTGAAACTAAGGAAACAGATACCTTTTTTTTTACAAAGCTGAACCCCATGCTTGCCCACAAACTGAATGACTAAGCATGAAGTTACTTGATTTGCTCATGCCCAGTAGGGAAGGCTTCAGAAAACTTATACCTGTTGTCAGGTCATTGGTGGGGGGAGAACCCTTGTGTGTCCTTGGATGGATTATATAAGCATACCCCATGCACACTGGAGTTAACAATGATTTCATATAAATAAAAAATATTGCTTTGACCAAAATAATATTAAGATCCAAATTCGTAAAACTCTTTAGGCTTACACAATTCCCTAACTATTATGTTTTCAGAAATACTGCAGAACCACCCATCCATGTTTTAAGAGCGCTGTTCCACTTTAGATACAGGTGTTTATACACAAAAAGAATGTATTTTACATAAATTCCTTTAACCAAGATATTTTTGGAGAGATCTTTGATTAAGATCAATCAATAAAAAAATCCTAAAACAGAAATATTATGCTATATTCTACAATTCTATCTTGTATAAATTTTTAAACCTTGAACTAATTATTTTGAAGTAAATATCTGTCTACAAGTTATCCAGGTCAGGCAGCTATGTTCAGCATCCTCACTCATCTTCAGCAAGTTGCTTCTGTAAACTGGAAAAAAGATGGAAAAAACATTATATCTTAGGAGGATCTAAGACTTCTCCCTTAACCCAGAAGCTTCTATTGCAAATGGTCACTAACAACTGTTTTCGGAGTCCATTTAACAAAAGCAAACATCTGACAAAAAGCTACTTTTTTCAATATAAAACAGTAGCTGTTCTTAAAGTTGTATTATTTGTTTGCCCAGTAAATGTGACTGGCTTCAAAAGTTTTTCCATCAATCTCTATAGGTCCAATATCTTCCACATTTTGAAACAATCACTGCTTTTAAGGTTTAGTGAGTTTCAAATTCCTGTGACTGATTTTGAATTTGGTTTAAGCTACACACAGTAATGACTAGTGATCTTCCCCAGCTACACTAAGGTAAAAACTACCTATGCCTTCTCTATACAATTATCTTAAAATGAGATACTTAAGTTAACTATTTACTTTGACTTCTGATTGAGTTGATTCAATATGAGAGGTGAATGAAGTTCACTAGCTGAAATGACAGAGAGGATGTTCTGAGATACCCTAATTAAAGCTCATGCAGCACACCGAAGTGTAGCTCAGCTCTACAGCAGCCACAACATTCCTCTTACCTTTCAAGATATTCTTTAACATTGTCATAGCCATAAAATTTTGCCAAGTGGATGAGCATTCCTGTGGCACAGCGGCCATCACGCTTACGGCAGTAACTGCAATTACACACACCGCGACAAGGAGGACAAATCCAATCCTGAAGAAAAGAAAAAGGCATATAGGGATAGGTATTAAAGGAAACTCAGTACCAAGCCTATAAGTCTTCTTCCTACTGCCTTTAAACAGAAAGCAATACCATATGTCCAGCATGCATTTTACAGGGCTATATTTTATTTCAGCAACATTCTACCAATGCATCTCAAGCAAGACCCAAGATGTCCTTCTCCCGCTCTACTCGGCCTTGGTGAGGCCACAACTGGAGTACTGCATCCAATTCTGGGCTCCACAATTTAGGAAGGATGTGGAGAAGCTTGAAAGAGTCCAGATGAGAGCCAAATCTATTATCAGAAGGCATGAGAACAGGCCTTATGAAGAGAGGCTGCAAGCTATGAGACTTTTCAGCCTGGAGAAGTGCAGGATCAGGGGTGACTTGGTGGCAGCCTATAAGTACATAAGGGGTGTGCACAAAGATCTGGGGGAACACCCGTTCACCAGAGCACCCGAAGGGATGACAAGGTCCAATAATCACAAACGCCTGCAAGACCTTTTTAGGCTAGACATAAGGAAAAACTTCTTTACTGTCCGAGTCCCCAAGGCCTAGAACAAACTCCCCCCAGAGGTGGTGCAAACACCTGCTCTGGACTCTTTCAAGAAATATTTGGGCATTTATCCTCCTGGGATCCTTTTGACCCTAGCTGACTTCCTGCCCTTTGGGCAGGGGGCTGGACCCAAAGATCTTACAAGGTCCCTTCCAGCCATAATGTCTATGAATCTATGAAATATTGATGACTAATGCCAACTAACCAGTCTTCTAAGGTGCTCAGAAGATCTGCAGAAACACACACTTCTGTCTACTTGATTCTTTGCCTTGCAAAACATGAAGTGCTAAGGATAACTTCCTCAAAATCAGCTTAAATTCTAGCAGTATTCATGTCTCCAACAAAAAAGGGGTACAACAGGAAAGGGGACCCTTCTGTTCCAGAACTGTATACACTTGGGTGACTAAGACCCTTATAGCATTAAGATTCTGGGTTAAGGTTGCTTCTCTCAAGGTAGAAGGCTGGCCCAAGGAACTCCAACTCAAATGTAAAGAAATGGAATGTCCAAGCCAGAGAACTAGGATAGAAGGTCTAAGATTTGCATTTTATTCTTTAAACTTACTGCTAAAAAACAAGTACCAGGAAGGGATGGGTGTGCACACTAACTTAGAGGCTGTGTGATCTGTTGCAAAAGCCATGTGAAACATGCAGTTAAATCTAAACCAATAAAAAGAAACACTTTAACTTAAGCATAGTCAAGCAGGGTTCAGAGCAAGAGAAATTATCTGGTGGCAGCAACATGTGACAATAAAAATTGGGTTACACAGGAGTAAACAAAGGTGGAGATATCTTGGGCATTTCTGCAGGGACAAGGGACCGCAGGGAACACAACGTCTGTAAAAAAAATGTACAGCTCTTGATAGCAGATGCAGGGTCTAAAAACCTACTTCATACTATACATTAATTACTGCTCTGTCATGATAGGAGGTGGAGTCAATTAGCTCCAAATAGGAAGAAAGGTGTGCTTCTTCATGAGAGAAGGTTCTAAAGAGGCAAGCTCAGAGAGGAAGCTCAAGGTTAGATGTAGGTTCATTATGAGTCAGTCAGGGGGCTGGCTGGACCTAATGATCCCCCAGTAGGGAGAGGTTCACCCCCAAGGAAGGAGACGTTACAACTCTTAAGGTCTTGTATATACAGTTTCTTTCCTGACCCTGGGTCTTCTGCTACCAACAAAATAAGCCCTGCCCACTCTCACACACCAGACAGTGGCAAATAGCACAACAGATAGCTTGGAAGTGGCTGTGTGTGTCCATCTCTCATCCATGCGCTCTAAGGCAAGCACACCCTGGGAATGTGCACTCGGAGCAGCTCTGAGCCATCTAATCTGCCTAACTGCTTGCCTCTAGTCTGAAGATGATGGAGATCGCGATGGAAGAAGTGGGCAAGGCTTATATACTATCAGCAACAGGAAGTGAAGCCATACAGACATGCCTAAGGGCTAGATCCTTTCTACATACCAGGCATATTCTACCCTCTTGAATCCCTAAAACATTTTTACTTTTGTAATGTGCCTGAGACTTAAAGACTTAGTTACAAAAAAACCAGGAAGACGATCTCCCCCTTATGCATCAATGATTCTTAAAGCAAGATGGAATACAATCACATTTAGATAGCCACGTACCACTTAGACACCTAGTAGGTGCTGAGGACAGGATAGGGGCTCAGCTCATTTATGGAAGGTAAAGAAAAAGGAGAAAGGTATACTACATAAGTTCTTGTGATTTTTTTCCTTTTCTATGTTTAAGTTTAGTATCTAAAACAAGGAGCCTGCCTTGTGGACCACAAAACACTTAGGAGGGAGACAAAAAGACCACAAACAAAAATGAAAAGAATGAGAAAGAAAGAATGAGGCTATTTCATTAATCTTCGGAAAGCCTGATTTCCTTTATTCTAAGCTCTTGAGTATTCTTCCCACTATCCAGAGGGCCTAAGAACAGACTAAAGGGCTCCAACCTAGACCCAAGCTCTTGTACTCACGTCCCTACTCCAACAAGATCAGCATTAATTAATAATAACCATGTCCCTCGGGCTTTTGTGTGGCAGAAAGCATGAATGTCATATTATAGGAATCAGAGATGAGTGCACAGGAAACCACTTTAATCATTACACTATACTTTTTTAAACCAAAGAACTGAACACCTACTGGATTCAGAAGTGCCGATTTCACATCTTCACCATACCGATTTCGAAGACATGGTCCACAGAACTGTCCCCTTACACCGCCACAACCTTGATTACGACAGATTGTCTTCGTATCAATTGTCTTCTGTCGACACTGGTGACATGTACTACCCTGAAGTTGGAGAGGAGGGGGAAAGAGATGTATACAAATTCTGTGCATTCATCATGACATGCTGAACTTCCTGATGCCAGCTGCTGGAATTTCATAATAAATTTCTGTTAGCTGACAGTGGCACTTGAATTCTCTCCAGACCTAGAACCAAAGGTGACTAGATCAATAAAAGAACATTAGTAAAAACATAACTTCCACTAGCATGATTATTTATACAGTGCCCTGCTGAATGCTAGGTATCCTGCAAAAGAGACAGGCATGAACTCTGCCTAAAACTGCTTTGGAATCTTGTCTAGTATACCCCAATCCCACATCCTTGGCAAAGCCTAGAAACCTTCAGATGCATTTACAAAGGAATTCCAGTTCAGGTCTTCATAGCATATAAGTTCATCGTTACAACAGAGAGAGCAGAACTCCTTGCACCTCAGTCCTGCCAGAGGGTACACACACACGCACACACTCCCTCCCCACCCCGCAACCCCCTGCTCTTCTAGCCTTTATTCCAGCCTCCTTTTCCTTCTCCCCACTAAGCTATGTGGGGCTTCAAGAGCTACTCAGAGAGGAAACAAAACCATCATAGGAAAGCTTCTCCTACTGGCCATCTGCTGGGACTGTAGGCATCTCCAAAAGCAAACAGCAAAATGCTTGAAGCATTGACCTGCTGCCTACTTAGCACAACTCCATTTTAAAAACCAACTTCTGTCTTTTATAGTTGCTATGTATTTTATTTCTTTTTAATGTATTTATCTATTTAGTTGCAACTGTTGGAGCTGACACCGGGGTTTGGGGATAAAAGCCAAGAAAAAGAACTGTTTAGTCTTGAATATCATTCACATCTACACTTACCTAACATTAATAATTATATTCATGAAAATTCTCTAAAATGTAATGTTATTGTTTCACAATAAGTTAACTAATTTGCAGGGTTTTTTTAAGAACATAAGTATCTAACTTATGGAAAATTAAAGTCAATGTCAGCTTTTATACTAAAATAATGCTTAAAATATTTGGCCATTATTTGAAAATATTTGGTAATATTTAACCAGTCAATTGACCAAACATTTTTTGAGCTAGCCCTAGCACAGACACTTATAAATTTCTCTGCATTCTGGAAAGATGCAACATAGACATTCATTAAATTTCATAGAAACACAGAAGTAGAAGGGGCCTCCCAGGCCATTGAGTGCAATCCCAATTTCCCTTTGAATGACCCTCTCTATTCCAGGTTTCAGCACTCCTCTCAAGTAACATAAATTACCATGAAGTGCTATTAAGTTGGAATGGAAGGCTAATGGGATCTGGACTCTCTTGTTTCTAACTTACTAGGTCTCAATGAGACCAGATCATTCATGGCAATGTCAATTACCATGTAACAGCTCTGCAGTAAAAAAATGATTTGGTGGTCTAAGCCAGTGGTCTCCAAACTTTTTTGATTGTGCACCCCTATCAGTAAAAAATATTTGAGCACGCACCCCCAATATATGTATATTTATATAAATATACATCTAAATAGAAGTTCTAATATTTTCTTCCTGCACCCCAATGGATCGTCTTGCGCACCCCTCTTTGGAGACCACTGGTCTAAGCAGCAAAATGCCCCTATCACAACTGCACCTCTGCTTGCAGAAAACAAGCAATGGCAGACTGCTCTACCTTTTCTCTTCAGAGGGGATTTCTCTAAACTGAAGATGAAGCAGTGTCACTGCAGAGTGAAGGAGCTTTCACACTGTATCCATGACGTAGATAAAATACAGGACTTCGGTCTCCTGAACTCTTGATTTCATTTACCTTAAATGAGTCCTAAATTCACTTTGTAAAATAAAAATGTTTACCTCACCTCACTTTAAGACGTTAAAAGGAAAAGTAGGCACGTACCAGGACTTTATCATAGATTTTATCTTTAACTGTAATTGCGATATTCTCCAAGTCCTCTTCAGTAATATCTTCGACAGGACGGTAAGAGGAATATTTAGACGACCTCCTTCTTTTATGCACTCCACAACCACCCTATAAAACAAATTCATTTCACTACTCTTTGTCCTGTAACAGGAGTGTGTTTTTAATTCTAGGGATTAAACAGGCAATCCAGAAGGGCCTGATTGTGAAAATATTCAGCATCCCTTCCACCCAACCACTCCCGGTCTGCCTCCACATTCTACTCTTCCTCATGCCTTGAAGGACATCTGCTTCTAGCTAGGACTCTTCTTCTGTCCTCAATTTTTCCTCTTCCTCTTCTCCTCTGCTCAGTTTTTCACACATGTCAAACCTACTGCCTACCTGCTTCCTCTTTCCCCAAGGATCCACTGAAATCTCCACAGCTAAACATAGCCTCTCCTCTTCCCCTCCTTAAATCATCCCTAAGAAATATTCTCTCTCATCCAGGTTATCTTTTCATTACTTTTATTTATGTTCCTGGCAAAATTCTGCTCTGCCTCTCTGAAGAGGGAAGAAGGGAGAGGAAGTGACAATCTGCATTATGGATCCTCTGCCCCTACAGCTGTCCAAGTGCAGCTACATAGGCAGAGCCCCCTAGTGGATGCAAACTTTTTCCAGCTGATTTAGCTATAACACCTGGAGCAACACAAGTTGATAGCTGTGTCCAGATGAGGGATTTTGTCAGCACAGCCAGACTGGTTAGGGAAGACTATTACTTCACATCCACTGGCAACAGAATTGTGTAGCATAAACCAGGCTTTAGTAATACCCCTTGCATCCCTCTAAATCTTCACATCTCCTCACCATCTTCCTTTTTAAATTTGACACCAGATTCCTCTTTTCTCTCTCCTGGCAACCTCCTTTCTTCCCTCCTCAATCTTTCACATTGATGCCCTCATCCATCAGGTTTCTTAGCCTCTACACTCACATCCCCTTGTAGGTCCTTCACCCCTGGATCAATTCTGCCACCTAAAATTCCCCCCGGCCCCCCTCCATTTGATTTAGAACTCTTCCCTCTTCAATTTCTCCGTAGCTGAGTTCCCTTTGCAATCGTCCCTACTTCCCTTTTGCCCCCATTTTTTAAGCCATGACCTCATATCAATGTGACCATGGCTGCTCTGCTGCATTCAGGATGCCCTCCCTTGCTCACTGTTGTTTAATCCTCCCTTTCCCCCTCCTTCCCCAGCCCAAATCTATTCTCTTCCACTGTTGATTCTTTTGCCCTACTCAACTGAAAAACATCCCTCATGAGATTTCAACCCCAGTTCACCCGCAAATCCTGTTCTTCCTCTCCTGATTCACTGATCATCTGCAGAGAACCATCTCTGCATTGATTTCCCCTGTGAAAAATCTTTCCTCACTCAGGTCATCACATTCCTCACCTAGCAGTGCTACTCTCTCCACCCTTCCTGCTACTGTGACTATAATGTAGTGGCACCTAAAAAGTCAACCAAGGACTGGTGCCTCACTGTGCTTAGACATCATAGAAACATTACATGAGAATCCTCACCTCAGAGCTTATAATTTAGTATAAGACAGGAAATAAGTGACTATGACAAGCAAAAAAGAGTACGGAGGATAAAAGGTGAATGTACCAAAATAGGCTCATCTAGCTCCAAAACCACAAAACTGGGAGGAATCAGCTCATCAGTATCCACATGATATGCCATGCCAGTGATAACTTAGATTCTTTTGGGTAGATGTCCTATCAGGGATTGGTATTGAGGTGGGATCTAATGGGATTCAATCCCTACCTCCTGTTGCTTATTTGCAAAACAACTATTTCCTGAAGCCTCTTCCCCGCCTTCTCCACTCAGGTTCTTCATTTAAAGCAAAGCCGTCAAAGCTATATCCCATGGGCTGGAACCAATTTAAGCCCAGTCATGTGGCCCACAGCACTACTTGTGGTCTTAGACCACTCCACATGCCACATGCAGCACGAACTGGCCCCAGCCCCACAGGCTGCACATGGTTTGGGGGCTGGCATATGCACTGCACATAGCACGAGCTAGTCCAGGACATGCGCTGCACGTGATGGTTGTGTGCCAGACCAACCCTGCACGCTGAATCTGAGGCTGGGCTGAATTGGTCCCACACATGCCAGATACAGCTCACAGGGCCAGTCTGGTGCAGGCACCACATGCAGAATACTCCCTGGACCAGTGCATGGCACTGGGGCTGTCATGCACAGCATGCAACACGTAGGGCCAGGCTGTGGCTCATACTGCACATGACATGAGGTGCTCACACTGGACTGACCCTACATGCTGGATCTGAGACTGGTCTGGGTCAGGCCCATACACCCCATGTGCCAGATCCAGCACGCAGCCTCAATCTGGCACAGGCACCACATGCAGCATGCCCCCTGGACCCACTCCACCCACCACATGCAGGGTTGCTGCCAGTGCAGGCTGCACGCAATACCCAGCACACTGCAAGCAGCACTCAGGTTTCATCCAGTTCATACACTGGATGCAGTGCCCACTGGATCAGCCCTGCCTGCTGGATCCAACCTACAGGCTGGCCCCATGTCCCTCATCTGACCCATGGAGCTGGATTAGTTTGACGCCCTTGATTTTCAGGTCAACATCTGCCTCTATTTTCCCTCCCTTACCATCATCATTCTAGTATTCTTCTCCCCTCCTTCCAGTCACCAGAAACAAAGGTGCTCACCTCTTCTCCAGCTGCTCCCAGAACCCCTACCTGCCTGTCTCCTTACAACCTCTCACCCGCTTGTCCTTCTGCTTAGCGCAGGTATCAGCAACCTACAGCCTGTGGGCTAGAACTGGCCTCCAAATAGGTCTGATTTGTCATGGGGGAAACTGGTGGCACAGAGCTGCCCTGCACCAGCCGTCCCCCCCAGATAGGGGCAAGATAGAATGGATAATGTATAAATTATCTGGGTTGTCATTTCTAATTTCCAGCTAACTGTTCCTAAATCACTGTTGCTGGCCAGCACCAAGTTATTTAAGCACAGACTCAAATAACCAAGAGTTAGGAAACAAAGAAAATCTGGCAAATACCCCACTCAGTCTCCTCTTTAGGAGGTTTTGCTGTCTATAACTACGGAAGTGTTCTGCAAATCTAGCAGCAGATACTGTAAAGTTTTCCAAGGCAAATTTATCTGGAGGACGAGCATTTCTGGTTGGATTTGTACGACGTTGTATCTGGCCTTCAGAAAATGTCCTCCTGGGGGTTTTCTTCTGTTTCTAGAGAAAAGAAAATGTTTCCATTAGAAACTTCTGCTCATTTTTTTTACCATAGTTTCTTGCATGCCATACACCCCCAAATAAAATGTTCACTTTCTTTTAAGATGGCAGAACATAGAAAAAATATGTTTCTTGCATCACAGTCTAGAGCTGTCTTTTTATGGAGAGGCAGTGTTGCAAGATGGCTGATCGCGTCTTCCTGGGACAACAAGCAAGACCAAAAAGGATGGACTCCACTGTTAACCCTTTCACAGCCACTCTCAAATTGGCGACAGCTTTTGGCTGCTCGTTTGGCTGTTCAGTTGTAAACTGTTACCAATTTGAGAGTGGCTGTGAAAAGGTTACCACTGGACTTCATTCCTCTTGTCTGCTGCCCTAGAGAAGCTGGCAGCCATCTGGCAACCCTACTTCTCCATGCTTCTATTCTAGCAAAGAAAAATCAGCTTTTCTGCTTAAGACACACATACCAATTTTGAAGGGCTGATCTCTGGGGAAAAGGTGTGTGTGATATGCAATTCAGTTTATGCCTGGGGTGGGAAAACATGGGACATCTATACTGTCTATGACCCTTGTCTAATTCTTATTAGGTGGACTTCTTCCATCATTCATTTTTTGTCCTTTCAGACATGCATTAAAACTAATCTTGCAGTTTCCTTTAAGCACACTTCGTAGCTTCCACTACAAACCATACTTTCCTGTTTCTTTAAGAAGGACCCAGATTCCACATCCCTCTGAAAATTGTAATTCTTTATGAATTATATCCAAGGAAACCACATTGTAATTTATGGGGTTTCATGGAGTATATGGTAAAGCAGAAGTTGTGCCCCACTGTACTCCAACATTTCAAAACCCTTACTCACTTTGGTCTTTCCACATCCAGCACAGCTCATTCAAGGAGTAACCCATGCTTCAAAGCTAAAATAATATATTGACATACTGGTATATACTGTTCAGTAAACAGCACTAACAGATGAACTGATCTCCTTTCTACGTTCCCAGAAAACACAAGTTACCATCTCCATGCCAACACATCTAATACACACACAAAAGATTTGCATGTGTTCAGCTACCATGAAATCATCCACAGGAGATCATCTGAGAAATATGGTAACACGATTTGGTAGGAGAATCGCTCAAGATGGTGGAATTTGTTATCATCTATAATCAGTATTTTAAAAAACGAAAAATGAGTGGACACATGCAAGAAAATGGGGAGACAACAGCATAACAGCAGGCACACCTGAATGGTTTTGTTCCAGATAAAAATACTAAATACATATAATAGACTAGACTCAAGAAACTTAATAAAGTTAATTTAACAGATTTGAATAAATGCTTGAAGTGCAAACTAAACAACTTTTCATTTTTTTTTTTACAATTCAGTCTTAGTCTTAAAGGATGCAATTATCACAAGAACATTTTTACAAGGGCTTCCCAAAGTCATGGAAATGGGTACACAGTCCTTCCTATGACTATGCTCATTTAGAATATGTGCGAATTACCCACAGGAATCTCAGAGAATTAGAAATCCTCTGCTGGTAGCCAGAAAGTATCATCACTTGACACTAAGAGCATAAAATCATTGTGCTATTACGTGGGACAGGTTGAATGTTGCCATCCCATCTCTGATAAACACATGGCCTTTATCAGAACAGACAATTAAAGAAAAATACCTAACAGAATCCAGACAAAAAGGGAAGATGCTTTAGTTTTCCAGCTCAAGAAGCTGTTCGTCTTCCAGACATCTCATTCTTAGATGCACATATTTGTTTGTTCATTTGTGTCTTGTGCCTTTCTGGGCCAAAGTGCTGAACTCTAGGCCTGTTTTGTTTTTTTTTTAATGTAATGCATATATTTGTGCTTTTTCTTTACATGTATTTGTTGGTAGCCTACCTTTTGTCTTTTCACATATACTAGTAGCAGGTCATTACAAATAAAATTACCAAAAAACACAGATAAAACATTCATGAGAAAACACAACTTGAACAAGTTTAGCAACCATTTTTATTATATATAACCGTAAGCTGAGACTTACCGAAGGAGTTGAGGCGGGTGTTTTCACTGGAAACAATTCAGGTATGGAATTCAGTTCTGCTAATAACTGGGCAAGCTGAAATTAACAAAGATATCTTACTGACATCTCATTACAAACTTGCAGAAATTTAAACATAGTCAGGTCTTACCACGCTGTTTTCACACACACTCTCTGAGTTATTTCTAAATAGATTAAAGCCCAGCATCAGTAGCCTCTCTCTAAACACTCAATTTACTCCTAAATAGTCAAAAGCTCCTCACAGGGTTTTAGCTCTATGACTCCCACTGATTTTTACTGAAGTCGTGCAGTTAAAATCACGTCCAATGCTGTCAAATGTGGCAACACAGAAGTGTGTTATATAGAGGTTATAGTATCCGTGACCAGTAATGACTGAAATTTGCAGTTAACATGGGGGGAGTTAATCCCTGACAACAAGAGGAGACCTAAATGCCTCAAAGGATTATACGAGGTAAGAGGTTTCTTGTGGGCTATCTTGGCACATACCTTTCTAACACAACATTGCTAGTATATTATAATTTATTTTGACAACACAGACCTAGTGACACCTGTGTGTGTTCTGATACTTGAAAGCAAAGAAATGTTCTTTTAGTCATTCTTTATCACTTTTGAATGAGGACGCTCATCAGCTTCCATCAATGCAGCACCAACCATGAGCTCCACTGTGGTTTTACACCTTCAGGAGATCCAAAACAGGGAGAAACTGGCTTATGCTCATCAGGCTTCTCATTCCTTTCCAAAGCCATGCAGTGCACATTTGCCTCCTTGGTCTTCCCAAGCTACTAACACCACACATCAGGGCCAGTGTGATATCACTGGCACAGTGAAGACTTTCTGTTGTACCATAAGGGAGACCAAAATATAGGTCCTGGATCTTGTACATCTGGCTTCAAACATCACCTTCACTGGCAGTTTTGATGGAAGTCACATTTAGGCCTTCAACAGGAGCTGTTTGTCTTCCACAGATCTCATTCTTAGATACACAAATGTGTGCATCAGATGGTATAGCTATAGCATTTAGAATACTATACCATTTGAGGACTAACAGCTCTCCAGTGTCTTTTACCCAATTCCTCCCATGTGCCCAAGAAGCACTAATTCAGAGTGGTTTAGATTACTGCACAACAAAGCATCACTGGCAATGGCTGCCAGTGGCATATATGGGTGAATGCTGTATCAGTGAAGTCGCAGTAAGTTGAATATGACTTTGTAGTGTGACTGCTCACACAACGTGGGCCAACCTGAATACTCACACCCAGATGCCAGTCACTCAAACTAGCTCTGCAGAGAAGGCATATTCTTAGTGAGGACTGGTATTTGCCTCCTTGGTCTTACCATGGCTTTATTTTCTTTGATGTTCATGGCTCTTTTAAGCAGAGCACTAGAACTTTCTTCCTGTTTCTCTTTAACATCTTCCTCAGACTCTGAAGCAGAACCCTCTAAATTCTTCCACCTCTTGGCACTTTTCTCTCTTGCCAGAGTTGTAGGAGATTTACTGTCTTTCAAATGTAATTTGGAAAAAGTTGGTTTGGGCATTTTCTTCTCAGAAGACTTCCTTGTGGGGAACTGAAAAGCCACACGAAGGCCAAAGCTTCTTCTCTTGGGAGAAACCTTCTCCTCTTCCTCTTCCTCCTCGCTTCCCGGTAAAGATAAATTATCATTCTCTTCATCACTCAAATCTGACTCTACTGGCTAAAAGCAGAGAGAATCAACATGTTACACCAGCAGCCATGATATGGGGGAAGACCACTTGAAATCATTATCAGCACAAATCATTTCTAAATAACAGACATGTGAACACTAAACACTTCCTCCTGTGTTTATCATTCTGAACCAATATATTAAAAATATCTGTTTACTGTGATTAGAATTTAGCTCTCCGAGACCAGCACACGAATACATATCACATGAGAGCACAGGGCTTACATAGCAGGAAGGCTCTGAGTCAGTCGTCCATATAGGAATGAATTTCATTCACTGTGATCAGTAACCAACCTTCTATTCTGCCCTAGAGGGGATGCTGCTACATGCATGCCAAGATATTGTCCATCACTGATTTATAATTAGGGACCTACTCTAGAGCAAACTCTGAAATTCGGGGGATGGAAGAACTTACTAAACATAAAAAGTTGGCTCCCCCGTGGGAACCAACAGTTCCCTGGCTGCACAGCCTCGCACAAAGTGGGCTGCCGGCACGAAGGCAAGCAGGCCTTGCCGCCTCCACCCCTCATCACGGGCTGCCTGTTATGCAGTTCTGCCCCTCTCCACCAATCAGCAGTAAGGGGCAGGGCCACATGAAGAGTGCCCTCAGGCAATCAGCAGCAAGGGGCAGAACCATATGACAGACAGCCCTCTCCACCAATTGGTGGGGGGCAGGAGCACCAGGCCCCTTGGCCAGAGGTGACCGGGGTGGGGAATGACCCACCACAATAAATCCACGAAAATGGCAGCCAGCCTCAGGATCTGCCTGCAAAAATTGGCCAGCCGCCTTTAGTTGAGTAGACCTCTATTTATAATACATTAATAAAGGATTTTATGTTGATGACTATTTAGGATTGTTTTCACACAATGCATATTTATCTGCATCCTAAATATGGGACATAGTTATGTATTTCCACCACTTGAATAAATACAGGAATTCACAGAGAGAAGAGAGAGGTATGTTTCTCTTTGAACACAGTGAAAATGCTTTCTTTACCATCATTACTTTCTTGTTGGCTGCATCCAGCTCGCTTGGAGGAAAGCCTTCAAACACTTCAGTTTCTGAATCAGTGTCTTCAGTGAAAATCTTCCTCAGCTCCTCTGTCAGGTACTTGGATGGAATATGACCATTCTGTTAAGAAGCATATAGAAAATGCAAGAGGTAAGAAACAGTTAACCATACACTAAGCATTTACACAGCTTTGCCAATCAAAAATCAGGAATGCTCAGTTTTAATCTGTTACTCACTAGCTACTAAGTCCCAGTCTAATAAAGCAAACCATGGCACTGGGTTTCAGTATTATCATTATTTGAAATGTAAAAATAGAAACTTTCTAGCTCAATGTTGCTTTTAAAAGGTGACTGGCAAAGGATTATTTTATTTTTTGTCACTTTATAAGAAGGGGCATTTTATTTAGGAGAAAACTGGGGGAAAGGGACCTCAAAAACACCAGAAATATCTTCCCTGGGTTTGTTGGAAAAGTGTCCCAGAAGAGGAATGTTGTTCTCTCTCTCACTTTAATAGAAGTGAAATAGGCACCAAATCTTCAACAAAAGGCTTCTTCAATGCCTAGTGTTGGGTGCATCACTGAAGTCAAATATGTGACGACAAAAATGAAAAGCCTATAAACATGCAACTAAAAATTACCTCCCCTTCCAACTACTCAAATGTTACCCTCTCTGTTTTTATGGTGTGATTCTGGTTAGCCTTCCAATCTTCATAAAGTCTTCCAGACTACATAAAGCCCAAATTTCTAGTGTTAAAAACAAGTGGAAAGAAAAACACTTTGTACAAAAAAAAAATCACCCAACACCCTGCAGGGCTTGGTGCATACCAACTTTAAAAAAAAAAAGAAACAAGGGCATAAGACCAATTTTTTTCCTTTATGAGTCACCTTCAAGAATAATGAGTTTACTACACACACAAAAGTAAAAATATATTTTCAGCAATAAGGAAGGGAAAGGTGTAAAAGGAACAAACAGCTGCAAAGCAGCTGGCAACTTATCCTTGTTGCTATCTTGAAAGACAGGACTGGATCATGGTAGGGGACAAGCACAAACTCACACCACACGTGCTACTAAAACGTCAACAATGCTTACTCAAGATAGTTTGTTTCCCTGGTTTTCCTTTGCTGTTTCTTCCACCCACACAAGATACAGAAATGACCTTTCATACAACTGCACTTGGCTAAATATCTTTATTCTCTCCCTTTAATTTCCTCCCTTCCCCGACTTTAATTATATACTTCTTTACGCTGAGATAATATCTGGTGAAAAATAGATATAATAGATGAGTGGAAAACTTGCAGGGGAATAGAGGGAAAAAAATCATTGCATATACTGTTTCTTTACATTTAAAATGTCTCCAACAAATTATTATGGGTAACTGGAACGAGTTTTCTCTGAGAAAAATTACTTTGTTCTTTTGTTGATAGCTGTGGTGCAGCTACTTGAGAAAGGAACATGTACAAAAGGGAAGTTACTTTCAAGTGTGAGAGAAGCTGAAGTTTGTGGGCACACTGTGTGCTTTCAAAAAACGTCAGTGCTAGCTAGAAAGACTGTCAATTTGCTAACTCTATTAATGTGACTGAAAATAGCAAACCAGGTCCGATGCTATGCAAAACCTGTGAAGTATGGCACAGCCTACACAAAGGTATCCCTAACGGTTATTTTACCACGTGGGAAAAAGGATTTAGTACAAATGAAACAAGCACAGAGATTATGGGAAGTTTTCCAGGAAAACAGATCTACAAAACTATGTATTCTAAGTTGCTGGGAACTAGTAAAGTACAAATCTTATCCCAACTTATACCATATTCCACCTCCCATTCATTATCCTTTTCTCCATCCATCACAGAGCTTTTTCTTCCCTCCCACCAATTTCTTCTTTCATAGCAGAATACCTCTTCTGTAGGTCTGCCTCATTCAAAGCAAGCGTGTATGGTCCTTCATAGCAAAGAACCCACAGGGTGGGCTTGGGGGTCATATTAGGCAAAATTCAGGGAAGAATCTGTCCTTTAACTGTACTGACCATGGAAGCAGGATCAATATTACCATGGATTTAAAATAATTCACAATTTAAGAAATGAAACAAGGAGAACCAAGCAACAGAGAAACAGAAAGAGGCAAGACAAACAAAGCGCTAGTTGCAAATTCTGCCGAGCTCTCATGCTTATGAAAGGAAAACTGGAATTTCCCAAAATCTCATGTTGAGTTAATAAAAATATCTAGCTCTTACAGCTTGCTCCTCACCAGTCGATCTCTACACATCTTACAAAATATAAAATGTATAATCAAATGTGTCACTAGAATGCAATATCCTCAGTTTATAGATAACAAAACTATCCATAGAGGCAACAGATATGCTCATGAGGCACAAGGTGACACTCTGTAGAGTTACTTGAGCTCAATCTAGAACAGGAAACTGAATTGGTGTAGTCCAGGAAACAGGCTAAAGCGCCCTCACCAGAATCAACTAGCTCAGGCACAGTGCGATGTTAATGCAACTACAATACTTTTGGTTCTAGAGCCAGCATGTGTGGAGAAGCTTGGGCACTGCTGCCTTGCTCTGCATAGACTTCCATATATGTATACAAGCTAACCCATTCATAGCTGCTTCAAGACACCTCAGCCCAGTACGGCTTTGTGCTGTGCACATGTGCTCACAGTCACTTGCTAGCAAGGGGCAAAGCCAGGAATATAATCCAGGTCTGAATCAGGTGGAACCAGGAGTCAGCAATCTGCAGTCTGCGGGCTGGATCTGGCCTGTGGATATAGAGCTTCAGCAGTGTTTGGCAGCAGAGGGGCTTCAGCCACAGGAGCTCATCCTGTGTCACCACAGAGTGAAGCCCCAGCTGCAGGCAGGCCCTAGCACCCACCTTCCTCTGACCTGAGGGGGTCCAAACCACAGTAAAAAAAGGTTTCCTACCACTGCACTATATCACTCATTTCTCTGCACCAGTAACTGTGTGAGAGGAACAAAACCTGGAAATGTTGCTCCATAAATCTCTTCCTTCTTTTAAAAAGATACCACAAAGACTGTCAAGAAACAAGGCCACAAAAGTGATTTAGAAAAAATTGTTTTTTTTTTAAACTGACTGTTCCCCCTACCATTGACCAAGCCCCTGCTTCTATACTTTACAGTCCTCTAAGACAGACCTTCCAAAGATTATTTTTCCACCCCAAGTCATAAGAGCATTAAGATTTTTTTTTATTTTTCCCTGATTGCTACCTTCAACAACAGTGATCTTGCCATCAGGAGCTCTAGATTCTGAAGGGTACAGTTTTAAATTGAGTCACCTTAACTGAACAGAGAAGTCTCATACACGATACTGCTGTACTGAATACACTCCAAACATGTTACACCCTACATCTCACTTCAAAAGTGTTAAGCTAAAGAAATTAAAAACGACAGAGGACTGTTTTTCCTCCCTCCTTGCTAAAGGGCTACTCTTTCACTACCTTCCCTGACATAGGCAACTGGTGCCTCCTGAGTCGGGGGGGACACTTGCCCCCCAGCAGCTAGACACTACTGATCGTGCCGACCGGGGTGGGGGGGCCTCCGCACAGCTGATCACACTGACTCACTGGTTGGTGTGATCGGCTGCGGGGGGAACGTGGGGATCACTTCTCCTGGGACCTTCACTCCCTGTCTCAGGGGAGACACCAGTGCTCCTGCCTCCCCCTCCTCCCCCGTCACATAAGCAAGGAATGCTGGCTGTCAGGAGGTGCACATGCACCCCCGTGTATCCCCTGCATGTTGCCACATCCCTGATGTTCATTCATTCCATATTCTTCCCTTAGAGCTGTGCTAGCAACTCTCGGGACTGTATCCTACACCTGCTCCACCCTTTCTCTCATATATACTTTCTCTCTCTCTCTACATGAATTCATTTACTTACCAAGTGTCAGCTACATCATTAAGTTAATTGCCACTAAACTACCTTCTCATTTCCTCCTTGCCCTCTAGAAATGTCTCACATCAGCTGTCTCCAGATCAGCCTCCCCCCCAAAAAAAACAACAAACAAACAAAAAAACCCAACAGACATCTTTTCTTCCACATACTGGTCTACTGTCCTTTTTCCTATCATCACTGAAAACTCCAGCATCTTTCCCAAACTCTGCCCTTGTATTTGATACTACTTACTCTCTCTTTGTCTTCAGCATCTGGTTTCTTAGTTCAGTGCTTAGAAACAAAACATAATATCTACTCCTTTTCAGCCAGGCTTGCTATTAAGGCCTCTTGTCCAAGTATTAGTCATTTCTTAATGTTTTCTATAACTAGCTCTCCCCCTCCAACTTCCCAAATATAGTCTTAAAACCATTGGCACAAAAGCTATTTTCCTCTTTCACTGTGCTAGCCCTCTCTTGAATTCCTCTATTCAACTGATGATCCTTACAACATACATTTAAACTAATCACCTCTCAGCCCTGTAAGCCTCACTCTCATATAACCCAAGTGTTTATACTTGTTCTGAACTCTCCTTCCAGCACCCTGTCATAGATTCATAGATGTTAGGGTCAGAAGGGACCTCAATAGATCATCGAGTCTGACCCCCTGCATAGGCAGGAAAGAGTGCTGGGTTCAGATGACCCCAGCCAGATGCCCATCTAACCTCCTCTTGAAGTCCCCCATGGTAGGGGAGAGCACCACCTCCCTTAGAAGGCCATTCCAGATTTTGGCCACTCTAACTATGAAGAAGTTCCTCACAATGTCCAGTCTAAATCTGCTCTCTCCTAGCTTATGGCCATTATTTCTTGTAACCCCCAGCGGTGCCTTGGTGAGTAAAGCCTCACCAATTCCCTTCTGCGCCCCCATGATGAATTTTTAGGCAGCCACAAGGTCGCCTCTCAACCTTCTCTTGTGGAGGCTGAAGAGGTCCAGGTGCCCTAGTCTCTCCTCATAGGGCTTGGCCTGCAAGCCCTTAACCATACGAGTGGCCCTTCTCTGGACCCTCTCCAGGTTATCCACATTCCCCTTGAAGTGTGGCGTCCACAACTGCACACAGTATTCCAACTGCGGTCTGACCAGTGCCTGATAGAGGGGAAGTATCACCTCCTTGGTTCTGTTTGTCATGCATCTGCTGATGCATGATAAAGTGCAGTTCGCTTTTCTAATGAGTTCGTCACACTGACGACTCATGTTCATCTTGGAGTCCACTAGGACTCTGAGATCCCTTTCCGCTTCCGTGCTACCAAGCAAGTCATTTCCTAGGCAGCAGGTGTACTGGACATTTTTCCTCCCTAGGTGCAGCACTTTGCGTTTCACCTTGTTAAATTGTATTCTATTGTTTTCTGCCCATTTGTCTAACCTGTCCACGTCTGCCTGTAGTTGTTCCCTGCCCTCCAGTGTGTCCGCTTCTTCCCACAGTTTTGTATCATCCGCAAACTTGGACAGAGTACACTTCACTCCCTCATCCAAGTCACTGATGAAGACATTGAAGAGTATCAGTCCAAGGACCGAGCCCTGCGGGACCCCACTACCCACACCCTTCCAGGTCGATACCGACCCATCCACTACCACTCTTCGGGTACAACCCTCTGGCCAATTTGCCACCCACCGGACTGTGTAATCATCCAAGTCACAGCCTCTTAACTTGTTCACCAGTATGGGGTGGGATACCGTATCAAAGGCCTTCCTGAAGTCTAAGTAAATGATGTCAACCCCTACTGTGTTCAGGTGTTTTGTAACCTGGTCATAAAAAGAGAATAGATTAGTCAGGCATGATCTACCTGCTACGAACCTGTGCTGGTTTCCCCTCAGCATAATTTTTCCTGCTGGGCTCTCACATATATGAGCCTTAATAATCTTTTCAAAGACTTTGCCAAGGATGGAGGTGAGACTGACTGGCCTATAGTTGCCTGGATCCTCCTTCCTCCCCTTCTTGAAAATAGGGACCATGTTGGCCCTTTTCCAAGGCCAATGTGTCCTATTGGCCCTGGAAAAGGGCCAATGTCCTATTCCCTTCCTCTCCTGGTATCCCCCACTTCTGGCCACTACTAAACTGCCAATTCAAAGAATTAACAATATCAATTATAAATCAAGCCACTGTGCTGACTGGCTATTTGGCTGCTGAATCATCTCTGAATGGTTCTTGCTGTTAGACCTGGTAGTTTTTACAGAGCAAAGTAACTAAAATAACAGTTAGGACCGTGGTACTGAAATAGCAGCTGAAGATGCAAAGCTCCAACAGAATCACACTTCAATACTGCAGAGACGCAACTGACTCCTGTTAGTACATACAATAGGAAAAAGCGACTCAGTGATAGATAAGATATGTGGCTATGTGAAAGAGTTAAACAGAGCAAATTCTAAACTCACTTTAGGTTCTTCCCTGACACAAAAAGAAAAATGGATTTCATTATGCAAGACATTTTTTCAAAGTTCATTAGAAGTGACTAGGAGTAAAAATGGGTTTAAGCTTGTTTGCTCCTAGGATTATAGATTTTGGTTTCTGCCAGGAGTTAAGATCAATTTTGTGCCAAAACAGATTCTAAGAAACTATACTGTTCCAAACCAATATCCTAGGATCACAGTAAAATGTTCCTACCTTTTTTCCAGACCCCAGTGAATCAAAACTATTACAGTCGTCCTCCAATGACATAATTTGCCTAGGATCATCATGTCCAAACCCAAGAAAATCTTCATCATCACTGGGGGCATTAAAAATGTCAGCCACTTCCTTGGGTATCTGTTTTCAATTCAAAATAAAATAAATATAAGGTCAGTCACTGCAGTAACCATTTAGTAAATACTCTCATGGGAATAACAGCCCCGTATTAATTTGTCACACACTTATTCAGTTACTAGTATACATTATACAGCGCATGCGCAGCAGAACTCTCTCTCAGTACGCCAACTCCAAAAAATGCAGTGTTTGTTATTTTCATATATATACATAAGCCCCAATCCTATGAAGGTTTATGCAAGTATTTAACCTCATACAATAAAGCAGCTCATGGAAGCAAAGATTAAGCATAAACACAAGTGCTTGCAGGACTGGGAACAAGGATTTTCTCATAGGAGCACACTACGAGAAATATATATCAAAATACATATATCATGCATATATCAAAATCACTACCATGTTCAATCCAATGAAACACCAATGGTTCAGAAATGAAGATTCACAAAGATTTCATTAATTTCAAAAAGGTCTATCTGTGTAAAACTATATTGTGTGTACTTATATTTTATAGCAACTACAACATTAGTTTGCTATTTTAAAAATGTAATTAATAAGACTCATTTACTGGATGTCCCTCACTGTAAAAGTCTTGCAAAGAAAAACCATCTAATAGAAACCCAAGATTTAATCAGCTGAGAAAACATGGGAAGAGATATCTTGCAGATCTCTCTAAAAGTAATCAGGATTGCACTTAATAACACTTCTCCAAGGAGCAGACTTCAAAGTCAAAACCCTAATGCTAAGGAAGCCTTGGCCACCAACACCAACAGCTACATCTTTGTGACATTATATCAAACATTCCAAATAAACCTGCATTGCACTCGCCTTAACCTGAGAAACTGGGGTAGAGGGTGTCTTGTGTTACTCAGATCAGTCTATTTGATACTATTTTCCTACCCTGGTGCTTCAGAATATGTGCTTCTACATTGATCCCAGGTTAGAAGCATTTAAATGGGAGAATATTTTTGGAAATAATTGCTCAGCTGGAGTGTATTCACTCCAGTGCCTAAATGGCTCACCAATGACCGGGGTCAGAATTCTATTTCCCTTTATGAACCTCAATGGCACTTTTCCAGCTGTGTAAGAGGCATTTTTGACACTTACATACAATTTGCAATTCTTATGTGGACACATAAGCTTATACAAGGCTACTATACATGCTCAGTAGCCTGCACACTAGCCATGTACCTGAGTGTAAGTCCCAGAAAAAAAACAAAAAAGGGACTGAATAATACCTAACCTGTGGCACAAAAGGTTAGAGCACTGTGCTGGGAGTCAGAGGGACAGGTTCAAACCCCTTCTAGGTGAAGGGGGCCTAGAACCTAATTTTCCTACTTCCTGGGCAAGTGCCCTAACCACTCAGCTACTGGAGCTTTGACCCAGAAGAATCTTCTTGCTCCTGTATCCAACATCTGCTAGTCATGGTGTTTGCCACAGACTGAGAAGCATGCACACTTGATATACATGTGTATCCCTGTACATGAGTACCGGTCCAGCCAGTGCTTAGCCTACTGAGCAATAGCTGTGTTGAAACTTACGTATCCACACTATACCAGAAACAGAATTGTAAACAGTGTACAAGTGTCAAAAATGGCATATACATGGTTAGAAAAACTGCCCTTTCTGCACAAAGCAGTTAACAGAATTTGGGACTGGGTATTTACTGCATCTTTAAGGCACTTCAGGCAAACTTCTCTCAAGCACAGTACTCGCTTCTCTGCATTCTGCACTCCACACACACCACAACCACTGCAATTAATCAAATTGCAAGGATATGCAAGAGAGCCCCACAGCTCACTGATGAGAATGATGTGGTCTTAGACAAAGGTTCATGAGCCTGTATACAGTAAGAGAATGCCTCCAAAGTAAACTCATGACATGCAGAACACCACAGTATTATCGCCATTAATAGACAAAAAACAAACCACGCCTACACAACCTCAAACAACACGCAATTTCTGCATCTTTTATCTGTGTCAAGAACAAAGTCTTTCCAAAAGGCAGATGACATTTTCTAAATTCAACAAAATATACAGGCAAATTCCACTTCCTTCAAAGGACCAAACACCATTTTCGCAGGCATGGATCACACTCAAATAATTATTACAAAAGCACCTAAAGGTCTAATATTAACATCTTTAATTTCATGCCACTCACTGCCATGGATTGGATACTGATTTGCCATGGCTAAATCAAGATACAGATCAGTCCCTAAATAGGTGAAAGATATAAAACAGCTCAATCCACTGCACCACAGCTGGAACAGCACTGAGTATGCTGGAATTCTTTTGGATTTCCATGCAATCCCATTCCTACAGATGGGTAGTCAGAATTTCATTTTGTTGCTGTGAAGGAATTTCTTCACTCAGCACAGACAAGGGTTAAAAATGGAGCATTATACACTTTAATGACTTAATGGAAAAACATACAAGGAGCTGTGAGCCTTGTTGCTATGAATAAATTGCTTCCAAAAGCAACTGCATTAGTTCTTGTGCTATTGTACAGCTGAGCTAGCCACTGCTGCGATTACTGTATGCCTAACTAATTTCTTCTTCGTCGTCTATTACTTCTACATCTGCACCAGAGGAGCCATTATGGGGGTGTAATTACCGATTATGAACAAAGAAAAAAAAACATACTTTCCCAGTAGAGGACCTTTTTTTCATCTCCATGCATTCCCAGATACTGAGGGGCTCTGATTAAAGTAACTTGCTGCAGAACTTCAAAAGACTTTCAGTTTGTGACCCCCTCCCCCTGTCTGATTTTCAAGAGTCTCATTAAAATGTTCAGAAGTCCCTATTCCGGCTAAATGGCTTAATTTAATAGGAATAGCAAAGAAGGCATGATTTATAAGGTGGACATAGTCAATGAGTTTGCACAGGACACCCGCTAGTGCACCATAAAAGTTGTGTTCCTGGCACCAAGAACTTGTCATTTTCTTGTCCATCTCCTTTAAGTAATTCTGTTCAGTTCATCAATGATTTACTGCCTAACTACTGAACAGTCTAGACACAATGCACAACTGATTATTTCTTTTAAAGCCTGTGGTCCAAATGAATCAAAAATCCAAAATAATAGGAAAACCCCACTCTCAATTTGTAAGGAAAAAAAAAGATGATTTGGGGGCACAGAGAGAAGGGATGGAAACAATGGGTTGCGGAACTTGGTGTAATTACAGCTCATCAATTTTACACTTTGTTAGCTTCTAAGCAGAAATTTTAAATGCATCAACTGCTGTTTTTTCCCCAACGTTATAAAAACTCTTTGTGCAGCATAGCTGTCAGGTCTCAAAGCCCCTGCTCCCTGAATGGAACTGAGCAATGTGACCAACACAAGTTGAGTCTCAAACAGCTCCTTAAAGCTGCACAGAATTTGGGTAAAAGAATAGAACTGTAGGGTGCATGATGAACTATCAGATTGTGCAGGTGTTTAAAAAAGCCCCAACAATTATAAGTTATAAGGGAAAAATATTAACTTTTATACACACAAAAGTAAAAAGCAGACTTTTTAAGCACCATAGAGAAGAAAGGAACTCTTTGGCAATTTACCTAAGTGTAACAACACCTAGATGGTCTGTCTATCAAACAATATAGGTAAAGCTCAGATGTGCTGCAGGCAAAAAGCTCGCATATTTGCTCACTTCTCACAGGCTAGCTTATTTATTCCAACATTCCAAGACCTGGGACAAGCCAAATTTATTCCTGGTCTGAATCCAGCAGATATCAACAGACAAAAGGTAGGAGCAGGGTGGAACCTTAGCAACTAACTAGGTCAGAGAGGCATGAGCTTTCACAGACACTTGGAAGGGCAGGGTGCACAACTTCAACAATGTTATAGAATTAATACAGAAGACACTATTGCTGGTTCATTCCTGATGTTGCTCTGTTGATATCAGAGGTGGTTAGTCATGTAAGTCTGAAGTCAGGGCAAGGTGGCAGACTACAGACTAACTGGTTCAGAAACATGAGCTTTTGTAGGCAACAATCTACTTCATCAGAGGCTATGAAAAAGCATCTGACAGTTTTTGTAGCTTTCTGCCTACAAAAAAATTAAGATACAGCTGCATAACCAATGTACTTGTACACCACAGAAGGTCTGTAAACTGTTCATGAGATGCCAGTGGGAAAAAGTAAGGTGAGGGAGGGGGATGGCACTAAACATTCAAAATTTACTCAAGCAGAATTACAGCAGGTGGTTTAAGTCAGTATTTCTCAAGCTGGAGGTCGCAACCCAAAACTAGGTCGCAAGAATATATGAAAGGGTTACAGACAAACTTTAAAATGGATCAACAAACTTTAAAAATGGCTTCTCCTTTAAAGGAACAAAATGTAGGGGAAAGGTGGCTTTTCCCTTGCAAGCTGTCAGAGTTCCAGCCTGCAAGGGGCTGCTTGGAGCTCCCCATGGAGGGCTGGGGAGCCTGGGAGCACACTGGAGGGCTCGGGCCTGGGAGCAAGGGGCACTGGCCATCGATGTTTACAAATGGATCTGGGTACAAAAAAGGTTGAGAACCACTGGTTTAAGTGACATAAGTCTGCAGGAATGCACCAGAGATCTAACCAAATATTTTCTTTCAAGGACTTTAGTTACAAAAAAGCAAACGCTGAAAATGCAGGAAAAGCTTTTAACACAAAACCTTTCAAACAGCCTACAGTGGCTTGGAATGGAACACTACCCTGAAACCGAATCCAAATCTGAACATCATCTCTTCAGATCATCTCTAATAGCATTTTAAGATTCATATTTGTATTTAGTATTTTACAGCCACTAAACACCCAGAATTTCTAGGGTCTTTTCAAAGACAGAAAACAAGCAAACACAACCCATAACCTCCACCTTAAATGGTTCCCATACATGCAATTCCCAGAATGACTACATTAACTGGGTTGTTAGAATCACAAACTAATATCCTTAGATAAGGGCAATGCAGTGGACCTAATCTGTAGATGTAAGCAAAGTATTTGATACTTATGTCAAATTATTAGCTAAAATGGAAAAGACGGGG